CAGGAGCAATTTGATAATAATGCAGCTCTCGTTAACCATTAACAGTTGAGGTCACGATCTTCAAGACATTAAGTGCAGATGGATTAGATACCGAATTCAAAATTAAGGATATTGCGTAGTAAATGCGTTATTATGCATGTTTTTTCCCCTTTACGATGTTTACTTTTTCAGAGAAAGTCATTTGCTTGTATTGAAATAAAAAAAAATTAAGTTGTATATATAATTAATAATAATAGAGAATAAGGAAGAAATTTTGAATCAAATAAACAAAGACATGAAAGAAATAAAATTATTGGTTTTTAATTTCATTTCTTTCATGTCTTTGCGGATTTTATTCTAATTTTTTTTTTCCTATTATTAATTAATTTTGAGCAGCATTTGCGCGGAAATGGTATGCCTTTGTGGAAGACTTCTTAAGGGAAACTGGCTCGTATACACTTTACACACAGGGAAAACTTCGAAAACGGACAAGAAGCCAACCCGTTCGTCTGGAATCGAACCTATGTTGGAACTACCAGTGTTCAGTGACTTTACCGCTCGGCCGATGGTAGGCCCTAGGGTAAAGAATGCTTTCGCTATCTAAGAAAACCTAGTTTATATTAACATTACGCGTGCAGAAACCAATAACTGAACCCAGGATAAACTACCATTTTTCAGTTGATCTTATCTATTTGGCCATTAATAGTTCTCTTTCTCTCTTACGTGCAAAGTATTTCAAGATACAACGTATTACAGAACTCACAGATAAATCTTAAGATCCCGATCAGGACAAAATCATGGATTAAGTCATTAATTTCTATAGGAAAATCCAAATATCCTAACAAAAAAACAATTTAATTGGAAGCATCATTAATCAGCTACTTGGGAGGAAAAAACACATTACTAGCTAGCATCAGGCAAAACTTCGAGCATTATCAATAAAATGCGTACACATAATGAGTGACATTTTAAATGTTACCTGAATCAAAATGAACTCATCTTAGCATTGTTCAGGAAACCAACTATTATCTTCACCTGTATGACTAACTTTCATCGCAAGGCCGCCAAACAATTCTAAATCGTGGAAAACTAATCCTCTACGATAAGTTGTGGGTGTTTCATATTAATCAAAAACAAGAATATAATCATGTTCTAAAATCTTTGGCATCTCAATGACTACATTCATAATCCAACGAAAGCTACAATTTCTTATGTCAAACTTCTTTAATAAATATATTCAACTTCTTTAATAAATATATTCAACTTCTTTAATAACGCTATTAAAATAATTAATAACATATGCAAAGAGGGCTTGCAAATACATACTCTTATTCACAATTATTCAAATACTGCAAAAACTCACAACGTTTTCAGATTAAGATTTTGCTTATCAGATGCCACTGTTTTTGCATCTACTACACGTCGCACTGTTTCATGCTTTCAATTTACAAGCGCAGGTAAGATCCAAAACCCTGTTTCAAAGATTTGTCAGCGCCCGTTCGTTAAAATGATTTCAGAGAACAAGATTTCTGCACAAGCAGTTTCATATGATTTTATGATTGTATCAATTAACCACCAACCACTGTATAATAAACATAATGCACACGACATAATTTTTAGGTGAATGCATATACTAGTGTTATTAAGATAATGTGCACTCGCCATTTAAAAGTTCTGGACGTGAGAATCAGCAGAATTTTTTCAGAGGGTGAGGGGAAACAAATAATTACTTCTATAAATGCTATTTTTTTATTATTATTATTTTGTGGATGATCACAAGCAGATTACAGAATACAATATCACATCAATACAAAAACATATGTTTTATACAGATATTTCAAATGCATTAATTCAAAGATATATTTTCTGCTCGATACCATGGGGGGGGATGTAACCTAACCTCTTATTTTGCAAACGCACGTAATCCTGAATTATATTTCCTAAAATATAGCAACCCTACTTATGACCGATAACGCTTGTCATTGTTTTATTTCGTTATACAGCAAATCTGACGATATTCGATTTAAAAGTGTGAAACATTAATTGGCGGAATATTTGTAACAGATTGTTAGCAATATTACCAAGTCACATGGTATTAAGTACGAAGCTTGTTAATGATTTAAAAAATTGTGTTTAGAAATATATATATTGGTCTGAATTTAAGAGGTCCTATATGTACAAGTATAAAATGATACCATTTTTGAAGGCATTTTACTAGAAAAAAATACAAAACATAAAATGGCCATTTATCAATATGTTTATTGAAAGTATTTTAGAAAAATAATAATTAAAGTAGCTAAATATCATATGTACAATACAATATTTGACACCGTTTGAGGAATTTTAAATATGAACAGCGCTTACATGGCCATTTAATTTATTTATTCTCTCTCCGCTTTTTGGAGGAGAGATATGTAGAAAAGATGAAAAACAACCAAATCAAGAATAGATCCCTAACTGACGAAACCGAAAATTTTAAGTAGGGACATAGTATCTACCTTAAATTAAAAAAAAAAATAATAATTCTTAGTAAGGATATGGAGTCCTATTATTTTCTATGTACGAAAGAAAAAGTGAAATCTTAAAGATCTCCAACCAGACTTTTATTATATTTCATTTTCAAAATTAGCTAAACTTACCATAACTCCAACAGATTCTTCACCAGAGAACTACCAGGACAGTTTTTCAAAAAGGTGTGTGCCGTTTCTTATGATATTTTGTTTCGCTTCGCAAAAATACCTCACTGATTACACAAATACTCTTCATCTAGTAATGGCGTTAAATATGTTGGTTGTAAATAATTGACAGCAATAACAGTTAAACAAAACAACAACAACAACAAAAAAAAAAAAAAAAAAAAAAAAAAACACGAAATTAAACAGTTTACAGACAAGGGCGATGCTGGAGATCGTGAAAGCTCACTGAATAGCAAATAAACGCATCAATCACCACGCCCAATGGACCAGCACGATCCTAGTTATGATACAACTGCACTAAACACAATACGTAAACATTAACTGATGACGCTAAGCAGTTTTCTTGATTGCATCGCTTAAACGAATTTCGCAAATGGCCTCAAAGTAAAATGGCCAAATTTAAATTTTGTGGTTTTCTTTTTTTATAAATAAGATGTTTTAGATTAAAAAAAATACTTAAATTTGGTCTCTGAAATAATTTTCTTACCTCAAAATTTTGTTCTTGTCTTAAATTTCTGTCTCTCTCTCTTTTTTTTTTTTTTTTTAATTTTTTTTTTTTAAATTTTGAATGACAAGATAAGATCTGAATGACACTATATAAATAAAGAATTAATTAAATAACTTAGGACAAAAAAAAAAAAAAAGACTTGAATTACAGTTATAGTTAAAACTCTTCAAATTTTGATAGAAAGTTCGCACCATAAATTATTTAAATGATTCTCCCGAAATATAGATTAACATTTACCATAAAGGCACAAGAAAAATTAAACTTTCTGTGGAAAACAAAATTTTAATAAGCACTCTTTGAAACACAACGATATTTAACATCTGGCGGTACTCCAGATGAATTCTGACAGATTACAATATTTTGGGGGAAATGGGGAATATCGAAATGATAATTGCACTTTTACAAATTTTGTAATATAGAATACATGAAGAATTTATTTCTATATGCTTATTTATTGAGATGCCTCTGAAGTGGTTCAGAGATTTAACAAAAGATTACAGTACGAGATATGTTTTAGAATTACAATATCAAACATAAGCGATATATAAACGACCAACGCAATAAAATACTCACAGAATGATAAATTTAATTCATTTCAAAATATTTACACAAAGAAAATAAACTGTACTGCAGATTACATTTCCTTCTAATAACATTTAAACTATAAAATCCGCAGAATTAAATAATTCTACTTTAAATGAGAACCGTGACAGGTTACCATAAAACCCCCTCATTCCAGTTCAACGTCACCATATGGAATTTTCCTCAATTTTTATCAGGTAAGTTACATGACATACGCTACAAAGGCAAATTTAAACTACTTTTGTGTAACTTTCATAAGTCGAGAAAGCTATTTATATCCTTGATATACTGATATAGCTTTTTAAATATATAAGTCCACTAAGTTATAAGGCCTTTACAAACCAGCTAATAATATGCCAATTTGTAAAGAATTAATTATTTTAACAATAAATCTGTTCTTGTTTTAAGTAAAATTCTGCGTCACACGAACTCTGTTAATCAATTATTTTACTTTTGACATTCTTAACAACTAAATGCTTTTTTAAAATACGTAAAATTTAACAATTTACTTCAGCAATGAAATTCTATTCACGATGAATAACGAACATTTATCGTCTTGATTAAAGATAAATCGTTAAATTCGAATACGTCAGGTTATTAAATATTATTAAATTATGTATCGTTAATTAAATGTTATCTCTCAATAATAATAAAACATAACAATCAGAAGAATGTTACTTATCTACAGAAGAGCGATAATACAATTACATACATAATATGATGAGATATCCCTTAGATAATCTCAAATAGTTTTAGATAAATACAAAAGCGATACACAAGATATTATCGTGAATACATAATGAAATGATACAGCATAACAGAATTAATCGGCAAATCTGGAGACATTTTTATCTAGTAATTAATGAATATTTCTTTCTAAATATAAAAGAAAACAAATTCTTAAAACCGTGTCGTATACTATGATATAGCATAATTAATATAAATACCTTCTTGCTAAAAATTTAAACGCATAAAAAAACCGGCAAACTTCGTCAAAAACATTAGTTAAAATAATCTCAATGACGCAAACGCAGCAATCCGCTTTCAGAATCTGTGAAGGCTTTTAATTTCGTCGTATTATGCAAAGCTAATGACAACACAAGAGACAAGAACAGTAGCTTTGTCAACTCCGTTTATAAGTTGTCAAACAGCTTTCGTCTGAGAGTTCTCGTAAATATATTACGAAACGCGTTATGTCTAAACATTAAAGGAAGAAAAAGTACATATATACACACCTGTGTACAGATGATATCCAGATGGGCAAGCTTTAAAAAAAAAAACAGGCCGAAAAAGCGGATCCGTGTTCAACACAACTGGAGTATGCACAAATGGGTAAAAATAATAAAGAAAAGCGCTCGGCGAAAAGAAGTCGGTGTGTATTGGCCGCTCTGCAACTACAGAAAGTTGACTTCCGTTTGGGTGTTGGCACGTGACGTCTACTTCCGGTATACAACTCGGAACTCTGAACTCTGCATCTGCATTTAGATTTCCCGAAAAAGGGATTTCTCTTCCGTCGTGAAAAAAAGCCTTGGGGAAAAGTGATAACGTTGAAACTTAAAGAGCGGTTGTGAGGGGTTATTCGCATATTATTTATTATCTTTCGCATACTTCAAAATGAAATATTTATCCTTTGACCGTAATCACAAACTAAAACATTTCATTCTTACTCATTTTTAAAGCACGAGTTATAAGCAATTAAACGAGATGATACAGTTAACATTCACTTTACGATAGCTGAGATTTAACGTGCTTTTAAAAATAGTCTAAATGGAAAAAAAAAAAAAAAAAAAAAAAAAAAAAAAAAAAAAAGAGGGGAAAAAAAAAACTTTATCTAAAATACTTTTAAAACATAATTTTTTTTTAATTTCTTGATCGAAAATATAGCTATGAATCTCCACAGCAGTGAAAGGCGAGGGAAGGGATACAAAATGTTAGGAGGAGTTTATAGGAAGCATTAACTACTTAGAGGAAAAAAAAAAAAAAAAGCAGTAGTGGGGCCTTTTGAGGGCTTTTAATTCCATCTTCAGCAAGGATGGCAGATAGGTCTTTGCACAAAAGGTTGTCAGTTTGCCTGAGATTCTAAGTAAAACACCAATTTTCGTAATTAGTAAAAAATAATGTTTGCTTTAAAATTTCAAAATTACTGTCTACCATTTCAAGCCAAAGCTTTAATGCTCTTCGTTCAATCTTTTAATAAAGATATGCTATCGCAGCATTTATCCTTAACTCGGCAAGCGTTGCCATTGTACTAGATGCAATATATATACTATAATTCATCAATCTATATGATGGTTGAGATTTAACGTGCTCTCAGAGAGTGCTGCCATTAGCCGTGGAATAATATCTTTAATTTATGGAACTGCAGTTGCTTAATAAATAAGTGACTTAAAAGCAGTTAATTAAGTTCTTAACAATTTATATTTTAATTTTATTTTTTAATTATATGATGCTGTATATATACATAGTTGTAATGCATTTAACTGACGTAATATAAATTATATATCAAACTTATAGTTTATAACACATTTAATTTGTATGATTATTGATCATTATATTCAGCTATGAACATATACAGAATTAAAGAAACTATTAAAAGATATTTCTAATACAAAGTATTTTATACCTTCGATTCAAAATAATCGTTTAGATTTTTATGATTTATACCCCATTTAACATTGCTAGAACATACTAAAATGCATTTAAATTGATGCAAATAGAAAATATTGAAAGATAAAAATGCCTTTTCTAGCTCCTATTGACTAAAAGTTTCAGTAAAAAAACAAAAAGAAATAAAGAAATCAAAAGAAATCAAAAGAAAAGTCTGAAAGGATTCAGATTTTAACGATCTCCCGAAACAGCTGTTTTAAATTTTAATATGAGTAATCAGTAGAAATCATCAACAGAGATGGCCCAGATGGAATAGCGAAACATTTTATAGAATATTGTATGAATATGTGTTTAGACCAGTGCTTAAATTGTGCCGGAGCCCAGCTTTGGTACTTCTCAATTTTTAAGATAAATTACAATTTTAGCCGAAGCGCACCGGAGCCTTAAATAAGATGAGCTCCGGTACTTCTTTTTATAAAACTGAACCACAATTTAAAGGGAAAAAAATTAGAATTCCTAACATTTAAGTTTAACAATAAGCAGACTTTGCAATACTCTATTTATACGAACTCACGAGAACATGAGACGTTCATGTAAAGCCCCCTCACTCACATGCGGAAACCTTTCCCTTTAAGAAGAGCAATAAATTTGGGGGAGTTTGTTTAGGAACGCGTAAATTTCTCGCCATACCATCGTATCTAGTGTATTGTTATCGATGTTTACAGTTAGTTATCCTCGCAGGAAGGAAAATTTGTGTTCTTAAATGCTCGTTAAGTGACAGCGAGTACAATAAGAGTTAAATACTGAAATGAACTGCTCAAGCACGTCCTATACGTCATCTTCCCACAGTATCCACTAATGGAGGGGAAAGCGTAACCAGCAACCTTGCATTCATCCTTAGGAGTCAGATTCAGAACTCATTTTACCCCCTGACACACATCTGCTTGATGGCTATAATTATATCAGCAGAGAGCCGCGGTCAAAGAGAACGTTCTCTCTCACCAAGTTCTCTCATTTTTTGTTTCCACCCACTCATACCCTCATTCTGTTTCGCCCTGGAATTTTCATCAACTATGATTTAGGTGTATTTTATTTTTGTGATGATAAAAGACCCCCGCTACGATCAGAGCTTAAAAATTGGGCCGGAGCACACCGGATATTGGCTCCGGTGCGTCTTAGTTTTTGTAATAAATCATAATTCTAGTCGGAACGCACCGGAGCACTGAATAAGAAGGCTGCGGCTCTTCTTTTATGTAACTAAATAACAATTTCAGTAGAAATTTTATCTCGAAAATTTTATTTTAACAATAAAATTATATTAAAAATCGCTTATAAAATTTCAATTTATCTCTGTACACTTTATTTAATTACTTCAATCTTTAATTATTTCAATAACTAATAATTTATTATGTAATAATTATCAATTAAATTATAATTTATTAATTATACAATAATTATTGATTAAATAACAATTTACAAACATTAATTAAATAGCTATTAATTGGATAATAATTAACAATTTCATTTTAAAATTATTAATGAGTTTAATAGTCATTTTATTTATTTATTTACTCTTGTTCCTCTTTGCTGACGGTCTTCCATTGGGCTCCGGCACTTCTAATCTTAGAAATTAAGCCCTGGTTTAGACTACCATGGAAACGTTATGTATCTTCTGTATAATTAGAAAGGGAAAAATAGGTAATGTAATTCTATAAAAATATTTAATATCTTTAATTAGATGTATCACGAATTAAATGCATTTTTATTTAAATCAATCAGATTAAAAAGTAAAAAAAAAAAAATAATATTCTTAAGAACTGCATCTATTGCTTTTAAATAGCTTAGTTTATTAGACAGATTAAATATAAAAGAATAATATATTACGTTTTCTGAATGGCAGCAGGCTCGAATGAATAGCGAAAAAAGTAAAATCGTGCGTCGAGACTAACAGCCCTTTCGGGCTTTTTTTTAAGTAGGGTTTCTTGATGCTAGAAATGCCTTTAGTAGAATCGTTTTCAGTTTTTTTTAGCACTACGCTATTAACTGCTTATCATTTACTACACTAGCAATTATTGGAGCTACTATTGCAATACTGCACTGCCCTAAAGTCGCGATGAGCTTCACGAATTACCAGTGTTCTTTCTTTACAGTCAATAATTTATTTTGATTTCATTTAATTTTTAACAATTTATCTAAAAGTCTAATAATATCTAAATGTCCCATCCCAATAACCTTATGAACTAACTGCCAGTATCACAAGTCGTTCTAATCAACTCATAAGTCACGAATAATCAGCCTGAAGGTCAGCAATGACTAAGACCTTTGATGAACATTTTCGGCATTCGGTTTAATTTATTCAAATTCATTCCACTCCTCACATTGGGAATCTATGAATTGGCTTCAGTGACTGTCAACCTGTAGGTGACTGGCGACGAATAGACTTGATGGGCACTTCTGAACTTTATTTACAGTTTAATTCACAGGTTAATTAAATCTATTTATATTTCAGTTTAATTCACAAGCTAATTAAATCTATCTACATTTATTACACCACAGCTGATCCACTGATTATTGCCGTGAGCAGGACATTGAATTGGATAGTGATCACCAAAAAATAACCATCCGCATAGAGATCACACCTGACCAATATCATTTCCGAGTATTACTGTGTTTCTAGAAAAGTTTAATTTTAAACTTTGTCTAAATTTACTGCCCGTGGTGCACTGGTGACCTATTAGTTGGACCTAAGTGACTCTTAACAAGTAGGTCTACAGTGGCCTAGACAGCCCAGACAGTCACTAATGACTAATAGCCTTCGCAGGCATACCTGTTCTTCGATCTAACTTTATTTTACTTTAACTTTTGCCAAAATTAAAGAACAATGTGAAAGATATGCTTTCAAACAATGTCCAGTGAGGTAATTACTTATTTAATTATCTGCTACAGAATGCAAAACTGACTTCTGCGCATTCTGATTATGCTTTTATCACATACGATATTTGTTGCCGGAACACAACGTTTGAAGGAACAGTTCGGAGAATCGCTTTTCCACGAAATCGGGTTACCATCTTCACTTGGTAAACAGGCTGAAAGCCAAACAAGAATCAATTATCTCTCGAATTGGCGAAAGTGCCGTTTCCTTTCAAGTGACGTTTGCGTCTTCGTGCTGTTTTGTATCGCTCACACTCTTATCGTTTCAAACTTTATTGTTAGTTATGGAAGATAATAGAAAGGTGATTGCTATCAAGTTAATCACTTTGATCTCCACTCTGGTACTTCAAGTAACAGATAAACACGTTTCTGGTTATAGCAATCAATTACATTAGTAATAGCCAAATTCTGTATACACTAAGACTAGTTTAAAACGTGTGCTGGATAAGTCTGTTTATCAGGAGTAGATAGAAAATGCGGGTTCACCCACACGCGGTGTGCGGTGTGGGCGTGGCCAATGACGTCACACAGAGGGCGGGGCCAAAGGCAACATCATCACACTAGGAGGCGTGGTTTCGAGTGGAGTTGAGTTGTTTTTAGATTGCTGATTGAGTTGTAGACCTCCTGCTTTTCATTTAAAGTTAGTTTTTTTTTAAATTGGCAACGGGGTCATGGCGTCCTCTAGGGATGAAAAATGAAAATAATCTGTTTAGGAATTGCTCATGGCGTCCTCTACGGACGAAAAAAGAAAATAATTTATTTAGAAGTTTCTTTTATTAAAAAAATGTTCTATGATTCAAAATATAGGATCGAACCCTGAAACAAAATATCTGCTTTTCTGCAAAGAAAT